TTCCTTTATGTCCTAATATTTTAGCATCGCTCATTTACATTAAAGTCTTTCATCACCATCAACATCATAAGTGCTTCAACTTCCTAGAATTTCTTCAAATTTCACAAGAGCTAACAAAAGATGACTGCTGATGTCCAGACTCCAAGCAATGCAATTACCATAAACAATGCGAACAAATTTTCAGGAATTCCCGATTTCTTTCCATTCTTGTGTCTTCCATGATTGGGCTCTTTCTCTCTCTTGAAAATCAGGCTGCCATTAGCCTTGGTGCTGGGATGAACACTGACACCTGTTGCTGTGGGATCTGGTGCTCGGGTGGGGCCTTAACTCTCAATGGACAGCAGGGAATGTGAGGACACCCTCCAGGAACCCCCAGAAAGGAGCACATGGTGAATATGGTAACTGCACATTCACATATTGCTTCTGTCCCGTTCTTCTATGCATCTGAGATTTCAAATAAATACATGTTCTTCGTTTTCACTGTTTCCTATATGTTTCTTCTCTCACTTCGTATTTTCCATTTTGTGTGTGCATTTGTGCTTTAGCATAAATGGTTTCTCCTCACTTACCTATTAGTTAGTTCTCCAGTTCTCTCTAACTGCATCAGATCAGCTCCTGTGTCCACTTGGCCCAACATGTTCTTTGTTTATTATATTTTTCAGTTCTGGACCTACTTGCACCTCCATTTCCTGATTTTACATTTGGTAATTCTTTACAAAAATTCTGAACTCACCTTTTCTCTCCTTGCCTATTTTCGATGTCTAGAATCAGTGTGTTTCTTTCTGTTTCCTTTTATTCCTGCTGACTCTAATTCACAGTGCCCTTTCTCTTTACATGTTTAGTTACTGTTGATTGTGTGCTGGGCATTATGTTTTAAACGTTATCAATGGAAATAATTTAAGACTTAGTAATGTACTATCTTTCTCCAAAAAAGTTTTGTTTTATAAGGTCACAAGTCTAAACGTCTAAACCAAACTGACTCCATGACAGGCTTTAAGTTTCTCCTCTAAACTAGAAGGCCTAAGTTCCAGCTTCCCCAAAACTATCAGGCAGTTACACATTGCCCAAGGCAGGAGAAACCACCCTTGCAACACCCAATCAGGAAAGGCCAGCGACCACCCTCCACATTACTAAGGGAGAGGCCTGGAGATAGAAACTATAGATAGGACCCTGTTACCTAATGTTAAAGTTAACCTGTTAGTCACCGAACGAGACTCTAGGGTCACTCTGTAATTGGTTGAATTTAAAGGTACTCTAAATGTTGTAATTGGATCCCGCCAAAAGTAACGAATACTCTAGACAATGTGTATGGTCAAACCCGCTGTCAATGATGTTGAATAATTATGATTGGATCACTGTTCCCCTGCCACAACTTCTGTAACTCCCCTGTCACAAACCCCATAAAAACCCTACTCTGCCTTGGCTCAGGGCTCTCAGCACGGATCCACTGCGTTAGCGAGGTCTGGGAGCCTGAGCTTAAGCCCGAATAAACACCCTTTGCTTTTGCATATGTGACTCGGACTCCTTGGTGGTCTTGGGATTTGGGGGAGATTGCGATCTGGGCATAACAGTTTGTGTCTGCCTGCATCCTGGGAATGATAATGATCTAACATCACCTTAACACGAGTTCAAGACTTGGAGTTTTCTTGGGGTGCCTGGGTGGCTCAGTCAGTTAAGCGTCTGACTTCGGCTCAGGTCATGATTTCACGGTTCGTGGGTTCAAGCCCTGCATCGGGCTCTGTGCTGACAGCCAGCTCAGAGCCTGGAGTCCGTTTCGGATTCTGTGTCTCCCTCTCTCTCTCTGACCCTCCCCTGCTCATGCTGTCTCTCTCTCTCTCTCTCTCTCTCTCTCAGAAATAAATAAAACAAAACAAATGAACAAAAACATTTTTAAAAAAAGACTTAGAGTTTTCTCATTTACTTACTAAACCAGGCTTTAGTCTGGTTCAGAGCTTTTTACTATCGATCTATCCTTTGTTCTACGAAGCAAGTCTCTGGGTATTCCGCCAAAGCACTGAATTGTTTTCAGAGATAAGTTCCAGCTTTTGATGGTGTATACCTCTGACACTACCAAAGATCCAGCTCAGAGTTTTAGCTTTCCCTTCTAGAATGGCAAATTCCTGTGTGGCCAAAGTGGCCCTGAGTGCTAGGCTTAAATTTTAGAGTTTTTATCCTTTCACTGACCCAATCGCTTCTCTCTACCTTATTAGTTTTTTGATATTTTAATAAAAACGAAATATTAATCCTATTGTTTTCCAAGAAAAAAAATATCCAGATTTATTTTCTGTGAAAAGAAGTCTAAACTTATTTTGAATTTAAATAAAGATGCTAATAAGCCTTTACATGACAAGTACCTACGTCAATAGTCTAACTCTAAAATAGATAACTAGATAAAGCATAGAGACTTGCCATGAATTTCCAGCTTCAATGAAAAAACAAAAGGCACCAATGCCTTTAATTTCTTTAAATGTTGACTTTGATTTGCTCTCAAAGGACTTGCCTACAGGAGCAATGGATTCTTTGAAAAGCCTGGAGATGGAATAAGTGAAACTAGTAAGTACAAGTTTTCTTTACCCTTTCAATCACATTCGGCATTTTATCTGAATTTAGAATGGCTCAAAACAGGCCAAATTACTCCCATTTCTACAGGCAAGATTTTCTTATCAAGAAAACTCTATAGACCAGGAAAAGCAGGAAGTTCAACATAGCTGGATGGCATCTAGATAAAGGAGGCATTGATGACATGGATTTTGAAGGACGCTTTTTGTGTCTTAGTACAGCTAATGGTTGTGGGATGTATGGCCCAATCCCTTCTGTGCTAAAATGTGCAATCATGAAGGAAGAGGTGGGAAAAGTAGCACTAAATCTAACACGTGACAAATGCAGATCAGTCCACAGGCAGATTGATTCTGGGAAGGAATACACATGGGAGTCATGGATTCCTCTGATTCCTTCAAAGAATTCACAATTTTACTACCAATGGCTATGGGGGTTCTTTCTGGGGTGATGAAAATGTTCTAGAATTAGATTGTGGTGACATTGCTCAATTTCGTGAGCACCTTTAAAAATACATTGATTGTTAAGCTTCCGACTTTCACTTAGGTCATGATCTCGCGGTTCGTGGGTTCGAGCCCCGCTTCGGGCTCTGTGCTGACTGCCAGCTCAGAGCCTGGAGCCTGTTTCAGAGTCTGTGACTCCCTCTCTCTCTGACCCTCCCCTGCTCATGCTGTCTCTCTCCTAGAAATAAATAAAACATTAAAAAAAAAATTTAAAAAAAAAATAAATAAATAAAAATACATTGATTGCTTGAGGGCACCTGGATGGCTCAGTCGGTTAAATGTTGAAGTTCAGCTCAGGTCATGATCTCATGGTTCCAGGGTTCGAGCCCACATCNTCTGTGCTGACTGCCAGCTCAGAGCCTGGAGCCTGTTTCAGAGTCTGTGACTCCCTCTCTCTCTGACCCTCCCCTGCTCATGCTGTCTCTCTCCTAGAAATAAATAAAACATTAAAAAAAAAATTTAAAAAAAAAATAAATAAATAAAAATACATTGATTGCTTGAGGGCACCTGGATGGCTCAGTCGGTTAAATGTTGAAGTTCAGCTCAGGTCATGATCTCATGGTTCCAGGGTTCGAGCCCACATCAGGCTCTGTGCTGACAGTGTAGAGCCTGCTTGGGATTCTTTCTCTTTCCGTTTCTCTCTGCGCTTCCTCAACTCACACTTTCTCTCGCTCCCCCCAAAATAAATAAACTGAATTTAAAAATTTTTTAAAAACTGAACAATTTAAATGGATGACTTTTGTGGCGTGTGAAATATGTCTCAATAGAGCTGGGTTTTTTCTTAATATTTATTTTTGAGAGAGGCAGAGACAGCGACAGAATGTGAGCAGGGGAGGGGCAGAGAGAGAGGGAGACACAGAATCTGAAACAGGCTCCAGGCTCTGAGCTGTTAGCACAGAGACTGACAGGGGTTCAAACTCAAGAACTGCAAGATCACAACCTGAGCCGTCGTTGGATGCTTAACCGTCTAAGCCACCCCGATGCCTCGAGCTATTTTTTTAAAAAAGAAAAAAACCTTGAGCTATCTGTATATTGCTTGGATAGTCTTCCAGTCATATAAATAGCAAGAGTTTAGAGCCTCTAAAATCCACAGAGAAAAATGATTAAAAACATGATTGTTGATTGTTAATTTCAGAAGGATACCTAGGTTTAAACTTTGGTTTCATATTTAGTGTGCAGTTAAAATAAGAGACTCTTCAATACAGACAACAAACTGAGGTTTGCTGGAGGGGAGGTGGGGGGGGTGGCTTAAATGGGTGACAGGCATTAAAAGGAGGGCACTTTTCAGGATGAGCACTGGGTGTCATATGTAAGAGATGAAATCATTCGGTTCTACTCCTGAAGCCAAGACTGTACTGTATATTAATGAACTTGAATAAATTAAAAAGTCAATTACTTAACATCACTGGGCATTAGCTTTCTCTAGGAGAGCGGGGAAAACAATATAGCCTTGTCCAGAAGCAGAGACTGAAGCAGGATTTTCGCTCAAGTAACACACTGTCGGAGCACTCTAGGGGACAAGAGGCTAGTGAGCATGGCGACCCAGCTTAGTTTCATGTGTGTTTCCTCAAGGAAGTCAGTCAGCTATTGGCCAAAGTCTGAGAGGACCGTGTGGGAGGGTGCGGTCTTCCAGGCTGGTGACCATCAGCCATTTGGTGGTCACCACTCATGACTACCGGTGGGGGATGTCCTTGCCAGGAAAGGGAGTCTGGGTTGGGCGTTGTCAGCATTTACTGCTCACTCCTCCCCCATGATATTGCTGTAGGATGGCACAAAATAGCACATGATACACGATCATCGTGAAGGGCTGCACGGTGCCCGGCATGTAAGAAGTACTTTATAAAAGGTAGCCATTTTTTAACAGGGCACAAAACATCAAATACACAGATGATGAAATCAATTGGAAACAGTGTATAATCCCATCCCATAAGAAAACCTTACTGCACATGTTGCCTCTTCGTTAAATGAATATGTGTGATTTATCGAGCACGCTTCGTGGCGAGGTTGTGAAGGAGTAACTTTCAGCGGGCTTGTCCAACCTGAAAACAAAAATGTATGCGCTTTGGGTTAAAGATGTCACAGAAATTTTTTCTTCCGCCAGAAATATTTCCCATTCGAGAGCTAAACTGAATGATGTTAATGGACATTTCAGTGGAGTATCTAACAACTTTTCTTAGCAGTGAGAACTGAATTTCCCTGTTAGGATAATTATAATAATGCAGAATTATTTGGCATGTATCACTCATTATTAGAAGAGACCTGTTGGGTACCATGAGCCCGTGGATGAGCATGCAGCTGTACTGGGGATGGTGACCACACAAAGGAGTCTGGTTGCCATGTAGGTGACTTATCTAATGACAGAAGTGCTAAGACACTAGCAAACACACACAGAGACTTCAATAAGTATTTACGGCGCTGTCAATGGAAGTAGATGTATATGCAAAGATGGAAGAGAGGGTACCTGGTGGTTGAGGTGCTCATGAACACAGGTAAACAAGAGTCATGGAAGTAGATAACGGCAGTGTCATGTAGCAACTGTAATGATAGTTGAGATCTGAGCCCTGCGGGCGTGTGGAGGAAGAATACTGGCCCAGGCAGACTGTGGGGAGTTAAGACTATCTCCCTGAAGACAGCTTTTGATCTAGCCTTGACAAAGGGGAAGTCAGAAAGATTAGAGTCTGAGAGGGCCTGGACATACCACTGTTGACTTGGAAGACAGAGGAGCACGGGTGGCCCGTGGGAATAGAGTGTCCCTGACTGTGACGGCTCTATTGCAAGGACCCGGATTCTGCACAAACTGAATGAGCCTGAAGTTGATTTTCCCCAGACACTGTGGGCTTTGGCAGTTAGAAAATCCAGTTGAGCAGCGTCTGGATGGCTCAGTCAGTTGTGTATCTGACTTTAGCTCAGGTCATGATCTCGTGGTTCGTGAGTTCAAGCCCCACGTTGGGCTTGTCCTGGCATCTCAGAGCCTGGAGCCTGCTCCGGATTCTGTGTCTCCCTCTCTCTTTGCCCCTACACCGCTCATGCTGTCTCTCTCTGTCTCAAAAATAAATAAACATTAAAAAAATAAATAAACTGAAAAATTAAAAAGAAAGAAAACCCAGTTGAGCCTGCTCAGACTTCTCACAAAACTGGGAGGAAATAAATGGGTTTCGTGTCAGGCACGAAGTTTGTGACATTTTGTGACCGCAGCAAGACAAAGTATAGAGGAGAGGTCAAGTGAGAAAGGTTGTGCTGAAGCCCACGGCTATTTCTGTTTTGAGAACAAAGATACTTCTGGAGGTGACACCACTGGCCAAAAGAAGCCCTCCGATGACCGTAGTGCCCACAGCAGCAGGATGGCGCTCTGTGGTGTCTTTCTGATTTGCTGTCATTGAGGCAGCGACTTGGACCAAAGGGGAAAGTAGGAAAACAACAAAACCTAAAATTAGATATTTAAGCCACAGTAGGAGAGAGGAAACAGGACCATGAATCACTGCTACCCACATCACGGTTACTAGACTCACATCTCAGTATGACAATGGCATTGCTGTTACCTTGTGTCACACTCTACTGCTGCAAAAGAAACCACCCCCAAACCTAGTATCTTAAAACAACCATTGACCATCTCCCAGGACTCTGAGGCCAGGCAGGGTGTTGTATGTCATGTGGCCTAGCTTGGGAGAGCTCACCAGGTCCCAAATCATCTCCCTCACATGGCTGGCAAGTGGGAGCTCTGCTAGGCCTACCGACCAGTGCCTTGTTTATTTGTTTGTTTTCCCTATGGGCCCAGGTTGGATTTTTCACAAAACGGTTACTGAGAATCCAGAGGAAGAATCCCAAGAGGACGAATCCCAATGTGCAAGTCCTGAAACGAGGTTCTACTTGCATTATGATTGCTAATAATATCTTCTTATAGGCTAGAACCCAAAGGCGAAGTGGGCAGGAAACAGACCTCACGTCGTGGTGGGGGGAGGAGCGGCACACACAAGAAGGGGTGAGTTGCCAATGGCCACTTTCAGGACCAGGGATCACACACCTCTTCTTCATAATGCACAGTCTCATTTCATCACTTCTATGCCACCAAACAAATATCAAGTCCTTTGTCAAGGAAAATACTGTACTATTTCTTCACTTACTGGAGATGTGACATGTTTGCAACTGTGATATTTTGATTGAGAGTTCGTTTTGGTGTAATACATGAAATTGTATGAGTTTGGTGGGGTCCACCATGCATGCCATTTTTTCCATAGGACCTATTATTTTTATTATAAAATACTTCTACAATGTGATGCTTTTAAAGAAATAAAACCTTAATTTTTAAAAATATTTACTTAATTTTGGGAGACAGAGCATGAGCATGAGCAGGGAAGGGGCAGAGAGAGAGGGAGTCACAGAATCCAAAGCAGGCTCCAGGCTCTGAGCTGTGAGCACAGAGCTTGACGTGGGGCTTGAACTCACAAACTGTGAGATCATGACCTGAGCCAAAGTTGGACATTTACTTAACCGACTGAACATACTCAGGTGCCCCAAGAAAGAAAACCTTGAAAGAAAGATTTAAGGACTACTTTATGTATATTTTCTATCTATCTTTCTTTCTTTTTTTTTCTTTTTTTGGAAATGTTGATTTAGTTATTTTGAGAGAGAGAGATAGAGACAGAGTGTGCCAGTGGTAGGGGGAGTGGGGGAGAGAGAGAGAAATAGAGAGAATCCCAAGCAGGCTCCATGCTCAGGATGGAGTCCAACGTGGGGCTCTATTTCATGACCGAGAGATCATGATTTGAGCTGAAACCAAGAGTCAGACACTCAACTGACTGAGCCCCCAGGTGTCCCTCTGTATTTTCTGACTCATGTGCTTCCCCTCCTCTAATGGTGAGAGATGTGTTTCGTCAACATCTAAAATACCCTTGTTAGTGGTCTTCTCTGAATTTTCTTTCTCAACATAGCTAAAGGTAGATCAGTTTTGTTATTTTCAAAGAACCAATTTAAGGTTTAGTTGATTTTTCCTGGTCTTATGTTTTCTACTTTATACTTCATTTTATTTATATGGATCACACATGAGAACTTCCACGTATATGGTGCAAATATTGACAGAATTGAAGGAAGCTCCAATATTCAACTTTCAACAATGGATAGAACAACTAAGCAATGATCAATAAGGAAATAGATCACGCAGACAATAACAATTTGACCCAAAAGACATATAGAAACCTGCAACAGAATACCCAAGCAGAACATACATTTTTCTCAAGTGTACACATAACATTCTATACAACAGATTATATTACAGTCCACAAAACAAGTCTTCATAAATTTTAAAAGACTTAAATCATACAAAGTATATTTTCTGATCACAATGGATCAAAGTAGAAATTGATAAAATGGAATGAAATCCATATATGAAAATTAAACACCACACCCCTAAACAACCAAAGAAGAAATCACATGGAAAAATAGACATTATCTTGAGACAAAAACGAAAACAAAAACACAATACCTCAAAAGTTAGGGGATTCAACAAAAATAGAGCTAAGGGGAAAGTTTATAGATACAAATACTTATACTACTGAAAAATGATTTCAAGTCAACAATGTACATTTATAACTTAAGGAACTAAAAAGAGACTAAACCCAAAGCTAGCAGAAAGAGGGAAATAATAAAGACCAGAATAGAGATACACAAGATAGAGAAAAAACAAACAACAGAATCAATGAAAGCGATAGTTGGTTTTTTGAAAACAGAAAAAAAATTGACACTTAGCTAGACTGGTTCAGAAAAACATGAGTGAAGACTCAAATAAACTAAAATCGCAAATGAGAGGGGACATTACAACTGATTTTTGTTGGAGGTCATCGAGAGGATGACCTCTGAACTGAACTCGGGCATGGGAGGGTTTTTACCTTCCCCCGTGTCCTTGGCATATACCTTCTACCCACTGTTCCCACGGTAAGAGCTATTTCAAGAACGGAGCCCAAAGTAAGGTGTTGTTGAGACCATCTGGATGGGAAACATGACTAAACCCTTTTAAGGTCTTTACACAAACCTTTAGGATTCTAGCACCCAGGTAGCCATTTAAGACAAGCCTTGTATGTATGTTCTCTTGGAGTGTCCTGCCCCTTTTTCTGGTCTCTTCCTACCAAACATAGAAAGCCAGTTTTGGATTGCACCCAAAGAACTATTTTTAAAAATTTTTTGAATTAAAAAAGATTGTTTTCACCCAGAGAACTCTTGAGGTTACAAATGAACAACTTTGCAGAAATAAAAAGGATAAAAATGCACAGTGAACAATTGTGTACCAACTAATTATATCACCTAGATGAAATAGACAAATTTCTAGAAACACACAACCTACCAAGACCAAATTATGAAGAAACAGAAAATATGAACATATCTCTAACTAAGAAGAAGATTAAATCAATAATCCAAAACTTTCCAACAAAGAAAAGCTCAGGACCAGATGGCTTCAGTGGTGAGTTCTACAAAACACTTAAAGAATTAATACCAATCCTTCCCAATTCTTCCAGAAACCTTGAAGAGTCTGTTTCCAAACTCATTCTGTGAGGGCATCATGACCTTGATACCAAAGCCACACACACTACAAGAAAACCACAGACCAATGTCCCTCATAAATATTGACGCAAAAATCTTCAAAATACTAGAAAACAGAATTTAAGAGCACATTGAAAGTATTATACACCATGACCAAGTGGGGTTTATTCTTCGAACGCAAGGAACTGTATTTGGGCACTGTTTTTGCAATGTAAAATGGAGCAGTCACTATGGAAACCAGTATGGTGGTTTCTCAGAACGTTAAACATGGAATTACCATGTGATGGAACAATCCCACTTTTGGGTATGTGCCCCAAAGAACTGAAAGCAGGGTCTTCGAAAAGATATTTGTATTCCCATGTTCATAGCAGTGTTATTCACAGTAGCCATCAAGGTGAAGCAACCCAAGTGTCCATCGATGGATAAATAAAATGTGGTATATACATAAAATGGAAAATCATTCAAACTTAGAAAGCAGAGAAATTCTGATACATGCTACAACACGGACATTGTCCATGAGGACATTATACTAAGTGAAATAAATCCATCACAAAAAGACAAATACTTTATGATTTCACTTATGTGAGTTTCTGGAGTGGCCAAATTCTGAGACAGAAAGAAAAATGGTGACTGCCAGGGGGCTGAGAGGAGGAGAGGAGATAAGAAGTTAATATTTAATGGGTACAGAGTTTCTGATCTTTAAGAAGAAAAGTGTTAAAGGAGATGAATAGTGGTGAAGGTTTCACTACTTAATGCCAATACGCCATGCACTTAAAAATGGTTGATTGTTATAGAGGAAAGGTGTGCGTATGCCCCAAATTCATAGGTTGACATTTTACCCCCCAGTGTGATGGTATTTGAAGGTTGGGTCTTTGGGAGGTAATCAGGTTTAGACAAGGTCTTGAGGGTACGGTTCTCATGATAAGGATTACTCTCCTTATAAAAAGAGGAAGAGAGACCAGAGTTGTCTCTCTCTCTGTCTGCCAAGCGAGAAGACAGGAAGAAACAAGTCCTATGCAAGCCAGAAAAAGGGTTCTAACCACGAACCAAATTAGCTGCTACCTCTATCCTGGACTTCCCAGCCCTCAGCACTGTGAGAAGTAAATGCCTCTTGCTTAAGCCACATATCCTATGGTATTTTGTTTTAGTAACTGAGATAAGACAGTGGCTAAAAAGGAAAAAAGGTAATAAAACATACAAGAGTTGTAAGTAGTGATATTAGGAAGCTGAATGTGGGACAGTCAAGGGTGTGATAACAGGCAACCTCTGTTTTCTCTGTGATTAGGAAGATGTGTCATCTGCTGTATTGAAATAGAGGCAAAAAGACCAATGAAGGTATGAATAGAATTAGGATAAGTTGGGAATCCTTGATTGGTGTATGAGAAAGAAAGCCAACTAAGAACAAAAAACTACTGAACCCAGTTAAATGTCTCGACAAAGTCGGAACAGGGCAAGAAATTGGTAATATAATCTTTAATGGCATTGTTCTGGTATTTATGAACGCCCACTGAAAAGCATACTGGTGTGTGATATAATGAATTTTACAAATATGTCCTTTATCAGAATGTACTTGAAATTATGTATATTTATGTATATTGCTAAAAACAGAAAGTACTTATTATTTATAATTAATGATTATTTCCGAGATCTACGAAATCATTGAAAACTTGGACAAATTATACTGAGCCCAATCACGAATGGCCAGTATTACTCCTTGAAACTGTAACGGCCAGGATTAACAGCTACTATTAACTGAATGCCTTAACCAGGTTCCAGGAACTTTGTTACTTGCTTTACATGTCTTAGTTCATTTAATCCTAACCATTTTAGAAGAGAACAATCCTCCTTTTATTGCAAGGAATTGAAAATTCTGGACTTTATAATAGCTGACATTTATTGGCCAATTCCTTCAAGTCAGATATCTTCATGTGAATTATATTAAATAGCCCTCATTATTACCTTATGAAATTTTACAGTATGTAAATTTACAAGTATATACACAGGCACTAAGAGATTAGCAACTCTTCCTAGATCACAGTGCACGTAAGCTTTCTCTTAGGATTCAAGCCCAGACAGTCTACTGAATTCTGTTGTACTGATTCGGGTGGTGAGTTCTATACTTGGTTCTGAATTGTTGATACAAAGTTGGCTAACCCTTTTTTAGCTTTCAGTTAGCTTTAATAAATTATTTTCTCAACCTGTCATTTGTTGGAATAATGTTCTGAGAGTCCAATCTTAGAAAAACTTATGAAACAAACCAAAAATAATTGTTCTTGAAAATTACACTAGGCTGGGGTTTCCTGCTTACAAGCAAAGTGGTATACTTGTCTAAAATAGGACTATTATAAACAACAACTTCAATTCCTTTAAACATATTTCTTAACAGTGACTATTATTTTACATTGGAGCAGTAGCAAAAGATTGAGCTCAATCAAGCTCTTTCCTTGAGAGAGCCGAAAAATAGTCCCTGGTTCTGAATCAGTGAGATGTTCTGAGTCTGCAAGACAGACCCAAACTCATCAATGGTTCAAGGCGAATTACATGAGCTTTCGGTCTAGATGGCATTTCAAGTGGATTATAAAATACTGAATTCTTTTTTTTTTTTTTTAATTTTTTTTAAGTTTTATTTATTTCTAGGAGAGAGAGAGAGAGAGAGAGAGAGAGAGTGAGCAGGGGAGGGTCAGAGAGAGAGGGAGTCACAGACTGAAACAGGCTCCAGGCTCTGAGCCGGCAGTCAGCACAGAGCCCAACGCGGGGCTCGAACCCACGAACCACGAGATCATGACCCAAGAGAAAGCCGGACGCTTAACCGACTAAGCCACCCAGGCGCCCCAAAATACTGAATTCTTAAAATAGATTGTCGAATCCCATTCACATTCTTTATTTTTTCATTCATATTCTTTACGTGGATATTCCACACTAGGGAATTCCCCCAAGCCAACCTGCCAAATCCACAGCTGAAGGACACGTGAAAAGCCTAACTCTTAGCATATGGTTGAATCTCTCCAAGTTGCTCTTACTCCGCACGCCTTCGCTTTGGAAGTGTTTCTCACCATTTCTGCACCAGGCCTGTGATACCCTCTGGGAGTTCTTACATAAAAATCATAAGGTATAGCCATCAGTAACGGGTCAATTCTATGTCCAGGGCTACAGAAGGGTCGTTTCTTACCAGACCCCCAAATCTACTTCCAACTACCTTCCCATATCATTTCAGCTCTTGGGACCTCTTTCATAACCATCAGCAGATGTTTTCCAAGGGAGAGAGACAGATAAGGAGGTATGCTATACAATTATCCAAACTAAACATACATTCCCTTGTGGAAAAATTAGGTTATCTACATGTCTAGAATAAATTGTCTGTTACACACTTTGTGTTGGCCACTTATCCTAATTAAGGCACTTTTAAAAACCGTTTTTTTAAATGTTTATTTATTTTTGAGAGAGACAGAGACAGAGCATGAACAGGGGAGGGGCAGAGAGAGAGGGAGACACAGAATCTGAAGCAGGCTCCAGGCTCTGAGCTGTCAGCACAGAGCCCGACGTGGGGCTTGAACTCACAAACCATGAGATCATGACCTGAGCTGAAGTCAGAGGCTTAACAGGATGAGCCACCTAGGTGCCCCCTAAAAACCATTTTGTTAGGGGCACCTGGGTGACGTTGTCAGTTAAGCATCCAACTCTTGATTTCAGCTTAGGTCATGATCTCACAGTTTGTGTGATCAAGCCCCGTGTCAGGCTCCACGCTAACTGCATGGAGCCTGCTTGGGATTCTCTCTCCCTCTCTCTGCTTCTTCTCTTCCCATGCGTGCGCTCACTTTCAAAAATATATAAATAAACATTAAAAAAACATTTTTTAACAAATAGGTTTATAAAAGGCTTATCATTCTCACTACTTTTCTCTTACCAGGTATAATTTTTAAAAGTAAGAATTTACTCTTTACAATTTTATGTTAAGTTTAAAATACTGAATCTTATATCCATCCTCTTTTCTCTTGTTTCAGTATTTAAAAATTATAAAGTCCAGGGATGCCTGGGTTGGCTCAGTGGGTTAAGCATCCAAGTCTTGATTTAAGCTCAGGTCATGATCTCTTGGTTTGTGGTTTCAAGCCCCACGTCAGGGGAGCTTGCTTGAGCGTCTCTCTCTCTCTCTCTCTCTCTCTCTGCCCCTCCCCTGTAGTGCCTCTCAAAATAAATAAATAAACATTAAAAAAATTATAAAGCCCATGTCACTTTATTTACCTCCGAGTCTTGCTCTGATGGAAACATCTGGTGTTGCCCTGGAATTCCATCTCCTGTCTTGTTTCAGTTCTAATAAAAGTTTTTTCCTTTTCAGTGTTGTTTGGAATCCTGTGTCTGGCCTGGGAACTCGATGTTGTGGTTTCACATCACTGAAATCCACCAGGCTTGGCATAGTTCTGCCAATGCCAGGTTTTAAATCAGCATCACCTCCAGGACTCAAAAACCCTGAACAGGGATCGCCCAAGGGCACGTCATCCCGAAGTGGAAATAATGGATAATCTTGCCCATACGGTGGGGGATAAGGATAGTGTAGATGATAATCTGGCAGGATTGAAGGCGGATAAGGGTGAAACTTCAGAAAAGTAGAATTGCATTTCTTTTCAATTCTGCCATAGTCATGTCTGTCCTCAACTCCTTTCACAAAAGGCATGTTCATTTTTCGTAAGAGATTACAGTAGTGTGGGTAATCTATGTTCTCAACGGCCTTTGTTCCTGAAAGGATGGACCTTTCAGAGATACTTATCTTTCCCGGTGTGCACTGTGAATCCATAGCCAACACTCTTCAGAATTTTGGATGTCTGTAAATGAAGTGCTCCTTTCTATTTAACTATAAAACTTACTATTTCCAATAATTGAGGATTGGTTGATCTAACATAAAGTTGTTGATTTGGTTTTCTAAATATTGATAGAGTGGGTTGCTTTTTTTGTAGATATCTTTTCTCCCAAAGAAGTAAGGGATGGGGACAGAAAATAATAGAACAAAAGAGAGTCCCTGTTGCTTGGCAACAGCTAGAACTGTAACACATGGGGCCAGTTAGTGTATACGTCATAATTTAATTCTTAGGAAAGACAAACATAGCCTTGTTAGTAACATTTTCATGATAGTTTCCTCCCCATTGCTCAGGAAAATGGCGCTCATTTGTTACTTATTTTAAAATTTTTCCGTAAGTTGGTATTTTATGGGTAAATGATATTCAATAAAGAGTTTAAAGCAGCTAATCAACTGACAATATATTTTTGAAGTATATATCGGACTAAAATTTTACCTTATGGATCTAATAAATTATAAAGCTCACTGCCTAAACAAATGTAAATGTAAATGCAGTGCCAACAATGAACATATATTATGCCACAAGTAACTCAGTGCACCTAATGTTTAAGAAAAATAAGTCATTAATAGTCAAAGCACAAGTTCACCTTTAAAATATTTATTTTTTGGGAGAGTCCCAGTGGGGGAGGGGCAGAGAGAGAGGAACAGAGATTCTGAAGCAGGCTCTGTGCTCCCAGGCTGACAGTAGTGAGCACAAGGCGGGGCTCAAACTCACGACCGCGAGATCATGACCTGAGCCGAAGTCGACCGCTCAACTGACTGAGCCACCAAGAGGCCCCACAGTTCATCTCTAAAATGCTCTAGATGATTTTACCTTTTTGCTACCAGTGTACAGAATAGGACCAATGGAATTTGTCAAATCATCTCCGAAAACTACAGTAAGATACCAGTTATTAGCTCACATTTGAAAAAGGACACCATTAACAAATTGGTCATGTAAAAGCTCATTTCAATGAGATAATTTGGTCTTGCATGAAAACTGTTACCATAGGAATTCCAAATATTGCAGTTTGGGCTCAGGGCCTCACACCATCCCTGCCGGAATAAAATTTAAAATATGCAAATATGAATAAGAAAGCTATTTTCATATTTCTTGCAATCAGCTTTCCATCTTCATAATCACATGACACACTAACTACAACCTCCAATATTGCCTCCTACTCTCAGGTTGAATATTAGGAATTTACACAGTAGAGCAAAGGAGGAGGGAATGACGGCCTGAAACAAATTCTCAATGGCAGAAAACGAAAGTCAATGGCAGTCACAAGTCCACTTGGTAAAAATCATATCGTTCAGGTTTACCTGCTTATAAAAATTAAGAGTTTTAACAGGGTCTATACCCAGACATAGTGATGGGGCACTATTAAGATACGTATTCATTCGAACTGCAAGATCTTGACCAAAACGCTGGCTGGCACCAAATCATACTAAAACATGCCTGCGCACAGTAAACTTAATTGAAAACTTGATATAGATGAGAAGGCTTCTAAGTGTAAATCCACTCAGTGAAATAAACTGTACGGTTTACCAAACAATGAACACATGCATAAAAACAGCCAGAAAACTCAAGGAACATCCTGGCCCTGCTCCAGAAACAGACTTTCTTCCTTTCTGCTTTTTTCTCCCCGCACTTCTGCCTCCTCCGCCTCCTTTTTTTTTTTTTTTTTTTTTAATTTATACCTATTTGAATTCCTACTGTATTCTAGGAGCGAAGCTAACATGGTGGCAAAACAGCCAAAATCCTAACTTTGTGTAAATCAGGCCAGCAGTAACTCAGCGGGGGACGGTGATACCTGCGATCAGAACACTCGGCAAGGCATTAATCCCGTCTTTGAGATGTTAAATCCCCCCCGATGGAACCCAGCGCATCCAGGGACTGTCTTCAGCCCCCCGGGGAGCAGGCATCCCTTCCTATGAAGGGAACACCGTGCACCCTGTTCCACATGGCCTTCAGCGGCTTAACCTTCCCTCTTGCACGGGTTTGCATCGCCCGCCTAGGCCGTCCTTCTGCCGTGGCTCTGCTCCCGCGGAGGGAGGCCTTCCGGCCGCAGCAGAGCCGACGCGCGATGCTCTGAGACGCGCGGCGGCCGTGGACGCTGCCCGGTGGCCCCACACGCTCCCCTGAACTGGGGCGGTGGAACACTACCGACCAGGCTGAGTGGTCGGGCGTCTGGCGCGTGCGTTTCCCGCCCTATCCATGCCATCCGTCCCCAGAGCACCTGGCGGCTGGCATTAGACCCCAGGCTGTCCCCGGCAGGCGGGCTGAGTCCAGCTGACCCACTTCCCACCGCCTACTGCTCAGCGTGGGCCCGGGCGCTGAGCCTCCTGAAACGGCCTCCCGAGGCCCATCGACGTGCACTCGAAGGGAAGGGCGCGGTGGCTGGGCCTCCCGCTCCAGAACCTTCCGCAGGTCGCTCCCGCTCCGCAGGGCACCCGGGGCGGCGCCGAGGTCCCGGGGCCCAGGCGGGGCTGGCACGGCTGGCGACACCGCGCCCCCGCGGCTGGCGTCGAGGGCGACTGCCCATGCGGCCGGCCGCCCCGCCCCCTGCTCCGCCCCGCCCAGGCCCCGCCCCCGCCCCGCCCCGGGGGACGTGGCATCCCGCGGCCCCGCCCCCGCCCCGCCCCGGGGGACGTGGCGCTCCCCGGCCACGCCCAGACCCCGCCCCCGCCCCGCCCAGGGGGAAGTGGCACCCCCCACCCCCCCGGCCCCGCCCAGGCCCCGCCCCGAGGGAAGTAGCGCTCCCACCGGCCGCGCCCCGCCCGCGCCCCAGGGAACGTGGCGCCCCCGCCTTCCTTCCGGTCCGGGCGGTGGGCGCGCGCCTCCTAACGACCTTCTGCGCCGACGGTCGGCGGCGGCGGCGAGTGGATGGAGGCCTCGGCCCCCGGCCGGGCGCGGCGGGGCTGGCGGCGGGCCCGGGCCGCGGGCGCCCCGCTCTCCCGGGCCGCGGTCGTCCTTCTGCTCTCCGCCTTCGTGGCGCGGGCGTCCTCGCCAGGTGGGGCGTCGGCGCCCGGGCGGCGGGATCCGCGGGGCCGTCGGGGGGCGCCCCCGGCTCCCCGCCCCCGGGTCACGTGCGCCCGCCGAACCGGAGAAGCGCCGGTACCGGCTGCGGTCGGGGAGTCTATTTTCGTGGAAACCCGCGGGGGAACGCGCGCTTGCGCGGGGCCGCCGGTGACTCGGGAGGTTCAGACGGTCCCGGCTGCAGGGCTCCCCGGTTCGCAGGCAGATGGGCTGTGAACGAGCTCCCCGATCGGCCCCGGCGGCCACCCTGGGCGCCACCCGCGGTCGCCGAGCTTTGTGATCGTCCGCGGTCCTGGGGCGCCCCCTGCTGGTGGTAGTCGTTAAACGCGGCAAAGACTGGGATGTTCAAAGCCTGGACATGTTCCCGCCGCCCTTTGTGTCCCTCTCTGTGTCCCAAGAAGTTCCATCCTGTTTTCAAAATGTATTTCGGTTATTGGCCAACGCACCACGGAAGCGGGCGTTTGGGCCGGTGTCCTGTAACTGGAAAGGTGGTGGCTGCGTTGTTTAGCGCTCAAACGTTAGACTTCAAAAAAAAAAAAAAAAGTCTCTCCCAGAATCGAATCATAAAAAGCACAAAAGAGAGTTGTTTAAAATGCAGGAAGTTGTAGAATGTGATTGTAGAGGGACTGTGGAGGAAGGCATGGACTGGGGAGGAGAAAGGAAAGAAATGGAGTGAATGGGCCTTTTGAGATCCCCAAAGTGGAGGCGTCAGGGCTCTTAAGGGTCTAGGATAGGTAAGGAAGAGCTGATAACCGTTAATTACCCTGTGGGAGAAGGAAGCTTCTTGACCTTGACCCTGGTCTTACACTATCAGTGTGCTATCTGTTGATCCTATGAGATCAGACCTGAGGGTAGAATAAATAGAAGAAAGCAGGCAATGTGTATAATACGTAAGCTCTGAATGCTAAAGGCTGATGTTTACATAGCATCTGATAGTTTGCACGAGGTTCCCGTTCAGTCCCGACAGTAACTCTGTAAATCTGCAGTTCAGTCCCATTTCACAGATGGGAAAACTGAAGATCCTAGAGTTTAAAGTGACTTCCCTAAGACCAGTGAGGGGTTTTCTGACTTTGAATACCATACTTGCTTCTTCGCACTCTGCTCCCTCTCTGTTAAATGTTCTTGGGGCATATGCCTTACTGCATTTTATTATAGTACTCCTACCACTTGGTCAGTGCACACTTATGTCCCTGTGTTCATTCAACGATGACCGAAGAATATCAGAATATATCATATGTAACTATTATTATTTAATTTGTACCAGGTGCAAGATGCTTGGTACTGGTTCTTGATAGGTTGGCATAAACAGAGATCCTACTATTAATGGAGTCTATAATCTAACAGGAAAAATTACATACATACATCAAGAACTATAATACAGTGTACAGTGCATGTCATTGAAGAGGTGCTGGTGTTGAAGCAAGGGACAGTAAGAAGTGATCAGGACAGACAGAAGGTTTGAAGGAAGAAGGATTTGGGTTTTGAGGTGCGAGGCAGTGAGACTTTTAAAAAAGATTCTAAGTGGATGTAGAGAAAACCAGGGATGAGATATAGTTGGGGGAAGCAGTGAGTAGGTTAATTTTGCTGGTACCTCTTCAACTGGGATCGAATATACTCTACATTGGATATCTTGGAATTTCTAATGAGGCAGATTGCTGATCGCTTCTTTTTGTTCTTGATAGTTGGATATTTGATTCGATTACCAAGAGGTTTTCGCTTGACCCAGGATTCCGTGAAAATAGTGGGATCATCAAATTTTCCAGGTATTTACCAATAGATGTCCAGTAATTTTAATAAAATACTTAGCATTTGCTTATGTTTTATCAGTCTCATCCAAAAGGCTACTGTTCCCCAGACATCCTCGTCTCCTAAGATCCTTATCCTTCAATGTAAATGGATTTGAATTGTTTCCATATAGTTTTATTCATTCAGGCCTGATTCTGTTTGCTGTAATTGCGTAAGTGGGTAAAAAATAGTTCTTTCTA